CTATGCATCAAATTCCCGACTCTCAAGCAAACCTTTGGATGGTACATTAAAAGAAACTACTGAAGCGCTCTACAATAAAAGGAGAAGGGAAAGTATCGCAACAGATTTCGGACATTCATATGTTGGATTTTGGCTATTCTCTGAGGATTTAAACAGGAGCATATGTGAGATCAATTTATTACCTCCAGGAAAAGCACTCCTAGAGGTGATAAAATAATTTCGACTTTGAGACAGGGAAGATGCAAACAACCCACCAACATGTTTTTTCTGAAATGTTTTCCTGATTTTCAACCCCTTCAGGTTATTTTATTTTTGAAATATAATAACATGTCTCGTGAGTAGTGAAACTGTGAGTCAAAATGCAACATATTGATGCAACAGAAATTAAAAAAGCAGGTTGGAAGGGGTTGAAAATCAGAAGAACATATCAGAAAAAACATATGGGTGGGTTGTTTGCATCTTCCCTGTCTCAAAGTCGAAATTATTTTATCATCTCTATGAGTGCTTTTCCTGGAGGTTATGCATTAAAACTAATAGCCAAAATCCAACATAATGGCTGTTCGAAATCTGTCCCTCCTCCTTTACGGAAACATATTCTTAACTGCCAACATTTTTGTGACCAACGTCCAGTATTGCTGCTTATCACTAACAACAAATACACTTTTCAGGAGTCAACAATTTAATGCCGTGTTGCAATACATATTTTAATACTTAGTTGATAAAAATCTAGACAAAAATCTTTGTCAAAATCATGGTTCACAATTCTTTGCAATTTCAACTTGTGTATTTATCACTTCACGTTTAGACTGATCTTGATATCAAACGTATTTCAAAAACGAGACATGTTTATTCTATTTCAAAAATAAAACAGCCTAAAAAAATCCTTGGCTTTTTCTATCTCAAATATACCCTGCTATAATTTAGGCATACAATACTCTTATGCTTCAGTCAATGACATATCATCTGTGACATGTACCATTTTAAAGTAAATGAATACAAAACTACACAAAACAATCTATACAAAATGAGCTTTGATAACATAATGTCTTGGCCAATTCAAAGCAATACAAACAGTATTCACCAGTTAAAAATATGTACCACTTTAAAGCAATTTCCATCACTCAGTAAAAAATATATATCACTTAAAAGCAATTTACATTACTCAGTCAAAAGTATATTCCACAAAATCAATTTACATTACTCAGTCAAAAGTATATTCCATGGAATTATTTGACATTACTCAGTCAAAAGTATATTCCATGGAATCAATTCATATTACTCAGTCAAAAGAATATTCCATGGAATCATTTTACATTACTCAGTCAAAAGTATATTCCATGGAATAAATTCATATTACTCAGTCAAAAGTATATTCCATGGAATCACTTTACATTACTCAGTCAAAACTTCGTAGATTCCATGACATTACTTTATTCTACTCAGTCAAAATATCACTTTAAAGCAATCTAGATTATGCACCACTCATATATGTATTATGCATTTTTTGATCACAATCACTAATTTATGCCAGAATTTAGAAATAAAACACAAATTATGTTTCCTTTATGTCTAAATGTACTACTGATATTGGCTTTTTGTCTAATTATTGAATAAATCAGTGAATGTTAACGAGTTGGAAAGATGGGAGGATTTTAACTTGGATTTAAAGCTCAATTAGTGGTTAGACCTGTAGCAATAACCTGCCCGGAAAGTTTCTCCAAATGGGATGCAAAATCATAATTCTACCCAGTTTGGCCAAAATATGCAAGTATTTCATGCTTTTTAAGTAAAAGCAATTGGAATTTTTAATGTTAGGGTGTTTACAGATTTTGAATAAAAATGTTCAGTTAAAACCAATGGCACATCTGCTTGATCCAAGTCCCGAAAAATAAGTTACAAATCTTTCTTTGGTTGAATGGATTTTCTTATGTTGGTGAGTTTAGGTTTAGAATAAAAATGTCCAGTTAAAACATGGCATATCTGCTTATCTTGAGTCCCGAAAAATAAGTTCAAATATCTTTCTATGTAAGGAAGTTCACTGTTTTAAGTAAAAATGCCAAATGGCACATCTGCCTGAGTCCCTAAAAATAAGTTACAAATATCTCTCTTTGGTTGAATGTTATGTTGGGGAGTTCAGGTTTAGAATAAAAATGTCCAGTAAACAACAAATATCTTTCTTCAATGTCTTAAAATCTTACTTCCATAAATGCAAATAGTAAATACAGTGAAACATCACTGTTAGTGGAACACTTTTCAGTTCCAATCCAACTGACTGTTATATGAACCACTGGTGGATCCAGGGGGCCCAGAAATAAATTAAACAGCCACAAAAATTTTGTAGGGCCTCTAAAAATGGACCTTTTTGGGCATAATTTGGCCTTTTCTGGCTTTCTTTAAGCCAAATTATCAAAAATGGGCTTTAAATTTTCAAATTTCTTTCAGCACAAGAACGGATATTTATTTCCTGAATCATTTCCCCATCCCTTGTTAACTTCTGCCAGTGTGAACCTCTATAAATGGAACACCTCCCAAGTGGAACACTTTTTAAAGGATGATAATGATCAACAAATTAATGATGATAATCCAAAAGTGCCCACTACTGGGAAAAGGAATGTTTAAATATACAAGCATTAAGCAAATTATATAATACTTTTTACTGCTCAAGCTTGATATGGAATGTTTACAATAAGATGTTAATAACTAACTATCTAGGGTAAATCTATATATTCCGTGAGAAGTACTGATGATATTCACTTTGTAGCAGGCTCGGGTTTGCATACACATTATCTTAAAAGAGAATATTTCTCAACAAGAAATGTGAATTAAGACAAAAAATGATGATCACTAGACTCACGAGAGGTTTCCACTGATTGGGATTTTTAAAAGTAAAACAAAATATATTTCATGATTCAGTAGCATGGTAATATCTGGAGAATCTATCAGACTTCATAACAGCATAATCACTTTCAAAAAATTGAACTTTCATAAAGTTGTTAACAATTTTTTTGTTAAACAATTTTTAAAACAGCATTTACAGAAAGCAATTTTGTATGCACATGTACATGTTAATTGACTTAATTATGCTTTGACTTTGACCAAAGTTTAATTATTTAAATATGAAAACTAAGATTTTTTCTCCTGACATCTAATGTCAATGAGAAAACATGTACAGGTACCAGCATATCTTACGACAACCTACTAGAGTTATAATGCTAAGCTACTATGAAAATTCTATATATTTTAGGAAGACTTCCATTTCATCCATCCATCAATATTAAGTCTCGACCCCGCCTTCAATTCAAACAATGTCATGGGGATAGGGGGATGGTCTCCAAATGTTGACAGTTGTGATAGAACAGACTTAATTTCATAATAGTTTAACCCCCTCCCCTGAAAGAATGAAATTTAAAAATGATGTGCCTTTAATTCACATAAGACCTTCACTTTTGAGATCATCAGTTGAATATCCCCATATGTACAATTATTTATCATTAAGCTGTTCGACAACTGCAATATTTGGTTACCATCCATCAAATGCTTGGAATATCAAAGTGGAATAGTAAGAAAATAAGTAAACAGACATGGAGTGAAAATACATAGACACATAAGGTCATTCATATAAATCTGATACTATTAAGCTTAAAGGTAGACTCAAAACTACACAGAGCAATTTTTTCAAGAATTTTTTTCAATTTCAGTAGATCTTATTTCAGAATTATCTAAGTAATACAGAACACATTTTATTGGTTATGTAAATGTTCCCTCCACTTTTGTTATGACCCTGTCTAAAAAAGAACCTACCTTCTTATTAGTATTTTCGTTGAAAAGAACACATATAGCCTGGCGCAGTGAAAATGTAAATCTCCCAAACTTAAAAAATAAATGATTAAGTACCACAAGTGCAACATTATATAGAAAAATATTTCATATTTTTATAATTTTTTTTGTATAAAAAATATAAATGCATTTTCATATACCATGTTTTCTCTAATCACTGCCCCCAGGATTCCGTGTTTGCAGAGCGCGGACGGAATTTGCCTCTGCCCGTGGAATTGCAGAATCAACTATTTTGGTCAATTTCCGCGGAATTTTCCGCAGAATCCATATATTTTCCAAAAGTTTAAAAAGTCAGTCTTACCTGTAACAATTTGACACGTTTTCAGTCAAATCCCTTGCAGAAATAACCCAAATTATGCGAAGTGAAAATTCTAAACGCCATCGTTTGATTTCTGCCGTTAGATGGCAGCATGTATGTAGTGACTGACTACCTGACTATCACGATATTTTCCCGTTTACTGGTTCGAAAACCATTAGTTTTTCTTTCGGTTCTCGTCAGAAAGTTAAACAAAGACATAAATTAATAACAGTTATTTATATTATTAAGTTATTGATCGAAAAAATGCCGCGAATATCCGCGGAATTTCTGCAGAATTAGCCCTTTCTTCTTGCAGAATTCACTAATTTCACTTGCAGAATTGAGCATTTTAACTTGCAGAAAACTGGGGGGAGTGTCTAATGAGCGTTTTCTTGAGACCATAGTTAACATAAGAGTTGTATGTGCACTTATTGGAACTGTGAGCTCATTAGAGAGAATACACGAATATTGCACTGTGGTTTTTACTTTTTTGGGTTAGATAGACATACATTCACTGCCATAGTTTACATTTTCAGCATGCTGTTAAGTATAATTTCTCCCTCTCAGAGTACCAGCTCTTTCAGTAAATGTGTCAGTTAACATGTATGAATGTACAGTAAGGCCTGCATAGGTAAAAAGATGAACTAATTTATCAGTTTATAAAGTTCTTAGCTCACAGAGCATTCAGTAAAACAATACAAACAAGATATTCAATTCACAAATTGTGTTCTGCAAACAATGTATTCATTCCACAAGGTTGCAAAGCTTGTAATGTTTTCTTTGAAGTTTAATCTTATTTACATTGTAAACAAGAAAACACATTTGCAAACAAAAATAAGCAGGTTTCACTGTACTATCCTTTCTGCCTGAAAACACCCCTGATTTGATAAATGTTATTTAGTTCAGTCAATAGTCTATAAATATATAATTTTGCATCAAATCTCTTGTATGTCCCCTCCTAACATACATTACTAACCTATCGCACAAATGGGAAATACACCACCATCCAAAAAGTTGGTAATCGGAAATAACACTACCCTCAAAAACGTTGGTATTCGGAAATAATACAACCTTCCAAAAGTAGGTTATCAGAAATACACTTCCCTCAAAAATGTTGGTAATTGGAAATAACATAACCTTCTAAAAGTTTGTTAACAGAAATGCTCTACCCTCCAAAAAGTTGGAAAAAACTGGAGTTCCCTTTTGGACTACATGCTAAAAACTGTTTTTGGGACTGGCGATTCAAAAAAAACAATAGTCCAATTTGTCATACATTCCTAAAGATTCAAACAGGCTAAAAGCACAATCCAACAAAGACTCAAGTTACCAAACTTATGAAGTGAGCGTAGGTACATGTAGTATGGAGAGTGGGAATTAACGAGAGGTTTGATGCGATTCCAATGAATACTGGATAAATACTACATGTTATGTTAACACAGCCTTGATGTATTAACCAAATACCCTTAAAATGTTTCGTTAGATTTAAACCACTGCACAAGATTGAAAAATGTCACTATGTGTTCTACTATATAAATTCCTACATTCAATATTATATATCACCATTTTCCCCTGCGTTCAATTCACTCAGTTCTGATTGGCTCATATCAGATTCTTTTAACTCGCTCTCATCCAATGAGTCCATAGACTGTGCATGGTCCATAGGGAGAATCTTAGGGTCTTCCAGGTTTATCCTAGGGACCTTTATCTGTTCTGGGTAAATCCAAGGCTTTTGGTTAGGATTATTCTTAGCCTTCCAGGAATCATACCCCTTGCATGCTTTTTGGACTAATTTCACCGTCTGAAATTAGAAAAAGTTATGCATTTATCTGTGATTCAACAATAAATAAAAAAATAATATTTTCAAATCAATGGCAAAATATATATCATATTCTTAATTATACAATTATATGCTAAATCCACAAAACGCTTTTACTTTTTAGGATGCTATTCATGGAAGCTGAAGTTAACAAAATGAACATTGTAACATTTAATATTTCAAATTATTTTATAATTAAAAGAATTAGAGCAAACTTAAGTCAAACAGAATTTTATTAGATTCCTCCTTTAGGACATTTAGACAGTATACCTTTGGAGCAACGATATGAGTGGCTCTGTTCACCAACCACTTAGGAAGCTTTCCTGAAAAAATAAAATACGGAATTATTTTCTTTCTGTTTGATGGTCGAAAAATCAATTTTAGAAAAAAATCAAATTCCTCAATTGAATCATTTGGTCTACTTGCTCATATTTAAATGACCATTTTTTAAAGTCAAATGTGTGACATGTGTCCATTCGATAGTCAGTAATTGAAACTCGAAGTTTTCTTCTTAATCCTCTAAATTTCAAAATGACTGATGATTCTAAAAATCCACATTGGAATAAACTAAAAGTGTTCAAATTTCAAGATGTTGTCATTCATTTAAAAGAATATCTTTTGATAGGAAATAAAATTCTCCAATGAAAGCATGATATTCACATACACAAGTGTAACTGCCCTGCACTATACAATACAATATAGCATTTCTTTCTGATAAAATCAAATTATTGACTTTTTTGAGAAGAAATCAATATGTTATCTGTATAGAATGTACTGTACACAAACCAAGAAAAACCATCGTTTTTTACATGATGATGAGTGTTAGCAGTGATACTAAGGATGTTAAAGCTACATCTTTTTAGAGACAGACAGACAGAAAATAGTGTCCCCCTCTCAATTGGCTTTGCCAGGGACCTTATTTTCCTTATATCTTTCATTTTGTCACTCTGTATCTAATTTAATTTTCTAAACATCAAATTTCTCTAATATATCAATTCATCATTTTGAACAAATAATCACTTTTTCTTTTTTTAACAAATAAAATATCTTAAATAGAAGTTTGACTTTTATCCTATGCAGTTTATAAAATGGTAATTCTATACTAAAATACCCTAAGGTAAAATAGTTCAAGCTATGGAAAGAGCATCGATGAAGCTCTTTTTCAAAATCACACTCTTGAGAGTGGTTCAATTAAATATATATCTTCACCATGGAATTACATCTAAAGGTAAGAGATAAAGTGAAGAAACCAGTTAATATTTCATGATGTTTTCATGTTAGAGTTACCCAACTGTTGAACAGTAAAACTTGTATAATTCAACGCCTCTCTAATCTAAACAATTTTTGGCCCTGATATTACATCTTACTACTGTTGACTTTCTAGGTAAAACAAAATTTCATGATGCCCAACCCACCCTCCCTATACCCAGCAATATGATCACAATATAGTGCCCTGGGGTGCAATTAAAAGGCTGGTGTGTAAACATTCATCAATCTGAATACTTTGGCCAGTGCCAGAGACATTCAGATGAGACAGGTTTTAATGTACTCTGCGCTGCGTTATCTCAAATGATCAAGATTATGCTAGTGCAGGACTCATTAACCCTTTCCCGAGTGAATATAAGAGGAAAATGTTGACCTGGTGACAGATAAGTAAGAGGTGTTTTTAGGGGAAAACTGCAAAAAAACTATACCCCAGGACGTCACCTATGCTTTAAATTTTATCACATACAATTCCTAAAAAGGATTATCACATTTCAACAACCTGTCAAAATTTGGTGTAGAAATATTGAATAGAACTGGAGATATTGTCATTCCATTGATGTATAGAAATAAAAATAATGGTGCCAAAAGGAGCCCATCATCCTGAAAGGTATTACATAATAGGGCTCCATATGGAGCCTATCGTCGTGAAAGGGTTAAGCAAAAAACATGTTTAATTCAAACATGAAATTTTTCCAGAGTAATCAACTTTCTGCTATGATGAATTAACACTCTCAGAAAGTTCATTGTAATCCATATCAACATTATTCATTTGAGACTCTCAAAACTCACAAATGGAATATTCACCAAAAACATGTCAACAAAATTATTATGGGATACAGTTACAGTGCAAAGAAAAATATTACAACCTGAAAAAAAGTATAAGAAAAAATATCATGAATCATGAATAACACATTCTGATTTCTCCTATGTCTTCCTAGCAAGACAAGGCAGCAAACATGCAAAATGTCACCACCTATCATTTGTTGCAGATGCACAACACAAGCCACTAAACATCATCCAGAAAAAATGTTGGAGATTTTAACAATATGTCATCACTTCTGGTGGTGACATAAAAACTTAAGAAAAGGGGGCCTAACTTAACACATTGTAAAGCACATCATTTTCAAGGACTTCATTATAATTTGTAACAACAGGCAAAATGATGAGAAAAATTTACAGCAGCAAAATTCTTCGAAACAACTGGCAACCTTGAGAAAACAACTGGTGATTTTCGCCTGTTGCCAAAGAAACCCTGCTTTTATATAGAAAACTATTGCTTGACGATGCCTTAATGTCCTCTAACAGGATGCTAAAATATACATTAAGTTCTGTAATTCATTTTGAAGAAGGATATTTATTGGAAGACAGGATGCCTTTGATTGAATCTGTCTTTTCCAATACTACTACCCTAGTACGAGGGGTGATCAATAAGTAATGGACGTTTTTTTACACATCTACTTTTTATAGACCAATCCCTTTGATTTTCCTACCAGTGATACATCATTCAATTATCTATCAATTCTGAAAATCTGAAGACAAAATATATAATACATGTTGATATATCCTTATTTCCTTGAAGGAGGTACAGGTACCCCGGGACCGACATTTACGTCACATATTCTGAAGCTTTTTTAGCTTGTTTAACATGCAATGCAGTTGAATGCAGGCTTAACAAAACATACCATTATGGTCATGAATTATCCCATTTTGTTATGCCATAGATGATTTTGAATATTTTATCATCATATGTGGTATTGATGCCACATTCATTCAACAGGGCCCTCTAAATAGGTTCCATCAAGTGCTACATGTACACAATTCCTCATCCTCTTAACTCAAGATTGTGAGACAAGGCTGAATCCATTCTCTGACATGGTAGCAAGATGCAGTTGCACGGGTTGTTTTATTTCATCAACGTCAATAAACCTGCGTCCTTTCTCTATAGAATTAAGTAATAAAGAAATAAACAAGTCACATGTAAGCACTATGGACAATATGGTGCATTGGCCAAGGGCTCAATTTTGAGGTCCAGGGATACTGTTTTCTGAACATTTTGAGATCTGTGGGCAGGTGCATTGTCCATATGGAGTAGGGTGTTCCCTTCTCTCACTACCCCTTTTTTCCACAATGCTTTCTCAAATTGACCTGCAAACCCCTTCCATACAACACTCTGACATCACAATACTTTCTGTCTATGTGTTACCAGTCAGCAAAAAATTTCAAACAACACAACACTTGTTGCATATAAAAAGTTCAAATCTAACTGAAATTTACCAGACTGGCTAAAATCTGAATATGTGACATAAATGTCGGTCCCGGGGTACCTGTACCTCCTTCACGGAAATAAGGATATATCAACATGTATTATATATTTTGTCTTCAGATTTTCAGAATTGATAGATAATTGAATGATGTATCACTGGTAGGAAAATCAAAGGGATTGGTCTATAAAAAGTAGATGTGTAAAAAAACGTCCATTACTTATTGATCACCCCTCGTACAAGATTTATTCCTCATTGGTTGTAATATTTCAGAGGGAAATGTCTCAAAGTATTTATTTTGGCAAATTATATCTGGAAGTAAGGCGGCATTGCTTAAGACCTTAATATTCTACTACTCTGATGCAACGATTCACATATTCACCCATGCATAATAGCCTTCTGACCAATTAAAACATGGCATAGCCAGATCAGTGTGATTTTTGAGCTGTCACAGTGGGGGCAGGTCTACTTAACTGTGATATAGTCTATACTAAGCAGAGGGTAGTTTGAAATTAGACTCTGCATCCATGGTACCAGGCATCAGTATCCAGGGCATCAATTTGCCCCTTGCAAAATGTTCGCAAGATAACATTTTTAATTTCAACTTGTAAATGTAACAATTTGCAAGCTTCAAAATATATGTTTATTACTTGGGTAGGACGTAGGTGAGCAAACATAAGTAAAAAAATTAAATAACACATCAAATTAAGTGCTAAGTTTTTGAAACAACCCCTAAGCAGCATACCTTTAGGATCTGCCTGTGTTACATAGTTGAATTCGCATGATTTTGGAGTGAGCACCTTTAACCAATAGCCAGTTAAGTATGATATCCCTCGCACTATGCCTTTCCTTGGAGGTAAATCCTACAATGGAATTAGAAAGAGTCAATCAAACGAGTAAAAGTGTAAGCATTCTTGCAATTACCAACACCATGGAGTGTTTATTAAACACCTGCATAATGCCAGCACAATAAATTCCTTTGTACTACATTTCTTTAAGTCAAACATCTTCACAAATAAGAACATTCTGGCTTTTAAAAATAAAACAGCTCAATAAGCAATTGAGACAGTTAACTCATTTAAAGTTAAACACCTCTTTTAAAGACCTATATCTGCATAGTAAATTGCTTTAATTTGACGGCACTTGAATTTGGCGGATTTGCCAGATTGATAAAAACCACTAAATTAAATCACTGTCATTTTTTTGAAAATCAAATTCCCAGGGAGTTTCATCCGGTGCCTTTTCCATGTGTTCCCTTGCCTGACAAAACATTGGTGAAAATCTTGACCGAGACATGGTTAAATGTCAATTTTAACCTATTTCTGAAGATCTAAAGAGTCCATGCTGGTTTAGATACAACAATCTCATACCAGGAGTGATAAAATTGTGTTATTTGTGGTGAGCTGTGAAGTAGGTAATAATACGATCAAAGATAGTCAATCCGTCAAATTAAATAGCAGCCAAAATTTGCCCAATCCGCCAAATTAAATAGCCCCAAATTAAAGCAACTTACAGTACATGTATTTATTAATATACCACGAAATACTATTTTACATTTTAATATGATGACCAGGCCTTTGTATAATATATATATATTCTTGGGGACTTACTTCATGATTAACACTGTGGTTTAAAATATATAGATGGGGCCCTGTATCCAGCCAAGACCTTTGAAGAACAAAATCTCGATTTTTCATTGGAGAAGGACACTTGACTGAAATGAAGAAATAAACAAATGTTTATACGAGTATATACAGGGTGGTAAAAAAACTTGAAACCCTTACACAATTTTCCTAATATCTTTGTCATTTAAATAAATAACTTTGCACATTTGTACATCACTCAATTTCCTACCTGCCTACCTTATTTCATGACCATTAGATTGATAGTGACACAGTGTTACAGCACTTTAAAGGACATTCCTGTGGCCACTATTGCGATAAAATTATCAGTCTGATGGTCATGAAATATGGTAGGGATGGTAGAAATGGTAGGAAATTGATGATTTACAAATGTGTGTAATATCAGGGAGTAATTTCTTAAAATGACAAAGATTTGAGGAAAATGCAGGGTTTCCGTTTTTTGACCACCCTGTATAATGCCACATTTATATGAGAGAATACAATATTAGAATCACATGATGTCTATACAAGCACTTTGACACTTTATAATATACACTGAACAAAATATATTCGAAAGAGCCTAGAAGGGCATAACAACTTTTTATATCAGTATATATTAGCAAAACTTCATAATTCCTGCGTCTTTTCATAATTTCAAAGAAGCATTTACGTGACAAAATATCACCAGCTGGTTGCAACTTCAACGCAGCAATAGCCAAAGTGTGACCATTTGTTACAGATAGCAAATTTTAAATGCACGTCAGCAACATGTAACATAAACATGACTTGGTGGTGACAAAAATACTTTTGAAATAAAAAATTGATAGGACAAAATCATTCATATTCTTATTTTATTAGTTTAACACTAGATTCAATTAGCAACATGAATAGTAAATACACTTTACATGTCCCGTTAACTACAAAATCAATCACCTTATTGATACGCTAAATATTTGTACAGTTGAAATCAAGTAGAACATTTGAACTTGAAATATGAGAAATTGTAAATCACAGTTATTGGGATATTGATTAGCATTTATGTTGAGCTATCCATCGCAGTGAAGCTGCATTGAAATTGTATTTTTCGAGCTGATGAATTCAACTCTCTTTTAAGCAAGCTAGAGATTTAAAAATATTTGGTTCTTTTGAAAAGTGTTCCTTGTAGAGGGGTGTTCATTACAAACAGATTTACAGTAATAAATTCTATTTTTGGCATTCTTTTGGTTTTGTTGATTTTCATTTTCTTACAATTAGATTTTGACTTATTCATAACGAAGTTAATTTGTTAAATTGTTGAGCATAAATCAACATCTCATTAATGAAATATGTTTATTTTTGAAAAATCCAGTAAAAAATCATTGAACATTTCAAAACTATGTTAAATGGGTCCGAGGGCAGGGGGTTAAATCATGGTAAAATTTTTTTTTTTCATATGGCACAAACAGTGATTCCAACACCAATCACAAAAAAATAGTCAGTATATAAAATAGGTCACAACGTAAAGCGTTTTAGAAATGACATGTGTAATTTCAAAATAAAATTCTTAAGGCGCTTTAGAAATGTTTGTGTAATCAGAATGGCGATTTTGTAAAGCACTTTTGACTAAAGCGCTTTTAGCATTTTTTTTTCAGGTGTAATTCCAGCAAATAAGTGCATGCAAGTAAAACTCCAAATTTACTTACGTGAATAATAGCCTATGTCATTATTGGGATTTAGGTAGCCTATTTCATAGCTTTCCTTCATAGAGTGGTCCCACACTTTCCTATATTCTGGGTCGTGTAAAACATCATACACTGTTTGAGCACTGTAGTTCATTACTGATCTAATCTGAAACACAACATCATACACAATTAAAGCACTGTAAGTTCATTACTGATCTAATCTAAAACACAACATCACACACTATTGAAGCACTGTAAGTTCATTACTGATCTAATCTGAAATACAACATCACACACTATTGAAGCACTGTAAGTTCATTACTGATCTAATCTGAAACACAACATCACACACTATTGAAGCACTGTAAGTTCATTACTGATCTAATCTGAAACACAACATCACACACTATTGAAGCACTGTAAGTTCATTACTGATCTAATCTAAAACACAACAACATATACTATTTAAGCACTGTAGTTCATTACTGATCTAATTTGAAACACATCATACATTGAGCATTATACTTCATAACTGGTCTAATCAGATCAAAACAGAACATCGGACAATGCGTTAGATAATGTAACAATGTTAATTAAACATCATAAGTTAAAAACACACATTTTATTTTGTAACGAAAAGGAAAGACAATCTACAAGGTACTGTTATTTCTGCCTTACGTAATGAAGAGCAATAAGGGATATTGAAAAATCAAAAAGTTGGCGGGGGCAAAATTAATTGACTACATTCATGTATAGCGTGGTATACTGCAATAATAATGAATCAGTAAGGCCTACTTTGGGTATCATATTTACTAAAGATGAGTGATGAAAATGATATCTACGCCTCTGAATATTGAGTTATCTCGTGAGTTTATCCTACTCAACTTTCAACTGAGTAGGAAGATCCACTGCATAAAATATCAAAGAAGTCAATAGATAAAATGTGGAATATAAATATGTGAATATTGTGGAGTTAGCTTAACCTGAAATACAACATAAAAAATCAACACTCCAAATTTTATAGAAATACCCCAAATTCAGGCATTCAGAGAAATTTTGTCAATGAAGTGAGACCCAGAGATGTTTCTAGAATAGGTATGACTATCTAACTGTATTCCCAAATGCTTCTGATCAAATCTTATTCTCAGATTCTTGTAACAAGTACAAGATTTACAAAATCAATAGTTGTTTTTGGAAGATTAAATTGTCCTTTTGCCGGATTCTGTGTCATGTTTTCATCTCTTAACGATTAATTAAAACGTGTAGCCTTGTCTCAAGCCCATAAGGAGATGAAGTAAATAATATAAAATTGTTTTCTATCGGTATCAAGTCTCTGAAACCCCACCCTCCCTCCCATCCTCTTTATGTGCCTCACCTCACCTCGGGGGATAAGGGCTTGATACATGACTACACTTTTTGGCTTGCTCTTTTGATTGGTCATTTTCATTGACTGATATGCCATTGAAATCAAATATAGAGGTGCACATTATGTATATTAAATAATTCATTTTTTCAATACCCACATCATATGCTTAATAAGCCAGCATATCATTTACTGATTTTCAATGATTTATAATGCTCTCATACATTTTATTAAATCACTTTTAAGCCAACAGACATTACAAAAACAAAAGTTTATATTATTTTGCCAAGTCTTGTAATTTGAATTTTGTAGAACTTAAGTGTAAGAACAATTAAAAGTTGACCCTTTACTTAAATATTCAAGGACTTGTTATAATTTCATTTACATGTACATGTATATTGTATATATTCTAAATCTTAGGGTATGCTTCTTCAACGTCACTTTTCTAATGAATATTTCATGCCAATTCTCTTCATTGAGAATTTTCTACATATACCCTAATCAAACATTTCTGAATTTCTTGCAACTGCAACAATTTGCATCACTGTACCCCTCATCTAATTTCTCTCGAAGTATCATTCCTAAATTAATTCTGTTATATCAAAAACATAAAATGTACTTTGGAACTTTAGTGAGGTTTACATAATGTTTTGGGGTTTCAAGTAGAAAAAATGTATGTTATCTAATCTATTAATTACATTAATTAATTATTTTTTATTAATATTTTACAGATATGAGTGGAGTTTTTACGTTTACAAACCATGTATACAACTCAATCAAGGCAAAGATCTTTTATAATTAAGCTTCATAGGCTTATAAACTATTGAATTATGTCATAATGTTTATTTATGAATCAAATAGGTTACTATTACAATATTTGTTTGTCGAGTGCCACCTGAGCCCATTATGGAAACCACATGCTTTGCAAGCCATGAAGTCTCCCTTGTTCTGTTCAAAATGGCAGTTGTTAATAAACATACATGTATATATGTATGTATTTTATTGGTTATGGGGGAGGGTGCAATTGCAGGCATTACACACCGACTGGCTACGCCTATGTTACTGTTCCCACATTATCTGTAAGGGAGTGATATTCAGATCAAGCCTGGTAGATTGGGTCATTTTTTATCATTCAAGCAGTTTACGGGATGTTCAATAACAAATGGCGTATCAATGAGAGTCATCTTGACAGAAACAGCAAAGCAAAATTATTTAGAGGAATTAGAAAAGATATAAACTGTAAATCTTGGAAGTGATCTTCTCAAAGATCATATTGGTCCATGTTGCTCTTAAAATCCTGATCTTACTTGAGTGAGTCATGTTTAACAGAGAAATCACTTTTAGACCATATCATTTAAGTGAAGAACAATCAGTGTTCTCTATGAAGCCATTCTGGGTGGTGGCACAAAATACAGAGTGGGAGTACAAAATAACGAGTGGTGATACAAAATACAGGGTGGTGGTACAAACTCTCATACAAGTTGCCCCATTGATTCTATTTTCATTACCACTATCAATACTCTTGCACATGTGCAATCTGAGTTCTCCAATCTGTTGTAGTTGCTGCATCACCAACAAAGTTTCTACTTTCCACTACCAATTTTCGAAAAAAAATGTGACAAATTACTTGACAGAATTTAACATATATATTCATGTCATTAAATGTCACAAATTGACAGGATATAATATATATTGAACGAAAAAAGGGTGGGAGGGGCAATTATTGACAATGATTGACAGTTGTCATATATAAATTGGCAATTGTATATATTCATATTGACAGGATATAATATATATTGAACGAAAAAGGGTGGGAGGGGCAATTATCGACAATGATTGACAGTTGTCATATATAAATTGGCAATTATATATATTCATATACTGTGTATGTTTCATGAGGAAATGAACAGATGGTTGATATCAATAACTGTGTCAAGTGCTTGATCTTTGGTAAATTTAAAAAGTGATTGATTTTAAATACAAGTATAATATAAAAGTTAAAAATTGCAAAAAAGATATGAGACTGTCAAAAGAGTTGTTAGTTCAAGAGTCAGTTTATATGTTTGCAATGTCTTAATTAACATTAGGCTGGAGCTTTAGAATGACATACAAAACTACTTGTATGCTTACAAAAATAGTATCAATTTTAAAGCTATTTAACAGATAAACACACTGAAACACCTACAAAGTTCTAAAACTTTATTAAGTCTTAATTAATATAAAATTAACCTAATAAATCAGTACATAAGTAGAACACCTACTAAGTGGAAAATTATTTGAATATTTCTATACCAAATATGTTACTTAAAGGTTTAGCTGTAGCACATCTGAAAATGTGTTCCACTTATATAGGTTTAACTGTACAACATCTCAAAATAATGTTCACCTATCTGGGGTTTCACAAGAATTTCTCACAACATGCTCAATAAATGAAAACAGGCAAAATTAATGGAAATCATGAATTTAACATGAAAAGTCCCTAAAAACAACAGGCGATTTTGTGAAAACAACTGTTGAAAATTGCCTGTTGTCTGCTGCTAATGAAACCTCTGCCTATACAATTGACAAAGAGTGGAGAGAAAGTAAATGAGACTGATTCATAAGACAATATATGATTCCTATGACATAACTCAATCAAAATGGTGTACTTTTAATGAAATGCCTAAAACAACGATCCCTTGTGATACTCCTGACTCACTTAAATCATCATTTTTTATAGATATTATGAGTAATCCGCTACCTCTCTATGAGAAATTAAACACAATATTATTAATGTCTGGTTTCTGAATGCTTAGCTAGGGGAGGAGGGGTGTGACATCGTTTCTTAGTAAGATACGCCACAATTATCACAGTTTAGGATAACATTGGTTTTGTTTTCCAAATGGCTGGTTCTACACGTTGATGTTTCATACATGCTATTTGGCAAATCAAAGTTTGGTTCTTCTTGTGCTCAAGACAAGACTTGACATAGTACTATTCATTAGGAATGGTCCATCGCAGAAAATATCAATTCAAAAATGATCTTACGCAAATGCAAGGAAATCATCAAATATACAAGTTATTAAACTACAATAGCATAGTCTATATGATACAGAGATGACAGGGGGTTTCCATTTGGCTACTAAACTTTATTTGTTATTACATATCCTATGTAACAGAGAAATATGAATATTAGGCATATTATAACAATACCACCATGTTCTGGACTACAGACAGTTGTTCATAACTCAGCTTACTCAGTCTCTAATATTAAATTAAGAAATCAATAAAAGCCCTTGGATGAAATACAATGAAGAGATAAAGGTTAGATATTGAAATACAAATTGTAGTGGAATCTTCACGATCTGACATAACCAGATGCGTAGTCGATGGCCTAAATTGTACAGGAATTGTCTTAAAACCAATACAATTGCTCATTTTCAGTGATCGGTGCTCTGGAATAAGATTAACACCAGCGTGAAACTTGATCAATGAGAATTTTTCTATCAATAACATTGTATGACGTCTTCATCATAAAACAAATTGCTTTGTTACGACTGTTCATTAATGTAACACATACTGATAGGCATATCGTGAAAGAATAAAATAATCTAGCCTGGTTTATCTTAACATTTAACATAGAATAGCTGGTGCTCATTAAATATTTAGATTTCTTTGCTCCTGTTTTAGATCAATTTTCATGAGATGTTTATTCATAACTGCCTTGATACATATGAGATGCATATAAATTATTTATACAATAGATTATTTATCAAATCTATAAAGTCTTGGAGCTCTGTAGAATGTTTGATTTATAGTTTAAAGAAATACTTTAAAAAATTATGTTTCATTTTTTCATGTCGACTGATATTTGAGGAGTATTCAAAGAAATATTTTAATTTTCAATTTAAAGTGAATGTTCAGATGAAAAAGACTAAAAGGAAATACAAACACTAAATTAATCTCATCTTAGAGTAAAACCAGTTAGAGGGAAACAAATCCCAAATTCACCAACTATGATTTAACATATAAAATAAATCTAAACCCCCTCCTCCATCATTAAGCGCATATTATCATAAGACCACTGGCAATTGAATTCATACTGAATAATAGAGGTGTAACTCCCGAGTCAGTAACTCGAATACAGCTCGTCAGAGCTGCCTATACATTGTCTCGAGTTGTCCTCTAGAAACTCGCAATCTATTTCAACTCGTGAGCTAGCTATAACTCGAGTCAACTCGCGAGTTTTGCCTATCTTGTAATGTTAAATGAATTCAGGTCCCAGAGATCGTGCAACATTACTTCATTAGTGGAATAAATATACAAACGACCGCGAAATTTAGCGACCGTCACCTAAAAAACACTCTCAAAGATTCACAAAGTTCAACAAATATCGTTGAATGACGAGTTACACCAAAAATATCAGAAAAAGATCGACTATCGAAGGAACTCAAGCGGGCGATAATAGAGAAGTCACTAAAATTGAATAAAAATGGTCCCCTTATTCTCACGTCGCTTACACGACTTTTACATAAAAAAGATGATCTATCATTAAATTAAGATCATAAGTCTTAACTTTAGATCGATAACCAGCAGTCTTTAGTATAAATAATGAAGATAATCCGGGAAAACCATTCATTAATTTGAGGGGCCCTTCTGGGTTTTCTAAAATATTGTTTGGTTAGATTCTAGCGATCTCTCGTCCTTACCATATGCTGCGACGTCTATACCAGATCGTTTTTGATTGAAATATGAGATAACTGCAATGAATACCACACTTTCATATGGACCCAACGTGTTAAACAGCTTTTAGATGTGACTTAACCAGAGAAACTTGCCGCTAGAAGCTACAGTAATTTTGTATACCCGGGTTTACAACATGTACTGGACGAAATGAATGAACTCAAGTTTTACTCGAGTTTTCGAAATATTTGGCAAGTTGAACTCGAGTTGGATTTTTCTCGCGAGTTACACCTCTACTGAATAACATTACTAATAATCATGAATAAAGCAAAAATGAAAATAAATACTCTTAGCATAAAAAGACATTTTATATAATCATACAAAATAAAGCATATGATCCCAAATGATGTGGAACAGACAGAATCCAAAGTCAAAGTCCACTTAATGACAAGGATTATGACACTAGTCCAGGGGTTTCATTAGCAGCAGGCAACAGGTGATTTTCACTGGTCTTTTTTACAGAATTACCTGTTGTTTTGAGGGACTTTTCAACTTTTCCATGTTAAATTTATGATTTCAATTAATTTTGCCTGTTGTTTTCATTTATTTAGCCTCTAGTGAAATCCTTGTGTTGTATTGTGATGTCATACCTGGGAATGGCGAAATAGCAAGTTTGGTTATTTCATGAATCTCAATTCCCAATTTTCTGAACAATGTTTCCATTTTTTTATGTCAGAATCAGAATAAATAATGATAGGTCATTCAATATGGTTGACAAAATGCCAGTACAAATGCACTCACCTTTGATTCGTGCTTGTAAAACATTCTGTCTAACTCATGCTGAATTGCACCATATTGAATAGCCTATCATTATTTATTCCTTAAATAATTCATAATGGTCATTGCGAAGAAAGTAACGCTGGTTTTAATCCCCATATTTTAACCACATGAGGTATTTTAGATTAAGAGCTCTGCTTTTATTCATATGAAAACTTAAGCAGGGGGTCTACTCTAGTCCAATTTCATAGTTTTTAGCCCTTAAGGAACAAAATCCAACTTTCTATGACTACTTCTGAATCTCCCCCCTCTAACTTTGTGTTCCCGGTACCACGCCCCCCCCCCCCCCTATACATTCAAATATTGTTTTTCATCCATCGTAGTTAGCGCATGCTTAGTATCATTTTTAGAAATGTTTTGAAGTATTTTATGCTTTTGGGTCCCTTAAGAATTAAACTTGAGAGAGCACACCAAATATTCACCTCAAGAAAGCAACAAAAATTGACAAGTGAATTGAATCTATAATCATCATGTACATGTACAAGGAATGAATTTAAAAGTAAATCAATATTACAAATATTTCCTTAATTAGAGCCCTAAAAAGTGTGAGTTTTACCGCAGACATATATTAATAATAATGTATTGATTCTTATGCGAGTGAATCAGAATACTGAATAACCTTTTCCAAGTGCCTAAAACTCAAATCTGGGTTAATTATGGTAGCAACAAATGTAAATGCTTGGTACATTCATCCCAAGAGCAATAAGTAAAAAAATGATGTCAAGGTTTTCAATTATCATTTCAATTACTATTTTATTTAACAGAGTCGAATGAAAATTCATGTGTGTTCTACACAAATATAAAAATCATATCATTAATTTATTTTATTGTCTTTTGTTATTTGTAACTCATTCAATGTTCTTAATCAAAATCTTTGCTATTGTATATCCACAGGTTTCTGACGGAACTCCCCGAAGGTTGCCGAAGATTGTGATGTCACTTCACTTATCTTTTACTTTTACAAGAATTTCATAGCGGCACCAGGGTTTGGTTTTTTGCTTGTTTTCTTTCTTTTGCAGTTCATGTTGTAAGTATTTTTGTTACTTGTTTTTTAATTCCCTCCCTTTTACCCACCCTTTAATATGTTATCGTTAGGCTGGCATTAAGGGCGCACCAAGGTAAAACTGTTTTGGTTTTAAGATCACTAAGCAAAGTAAGTCACCACTTTTTAGAAAAATTTACCATTTATTTTTATTATTAAATAAGTTAATTAGTTTAAATTATTATTTATATTTGCAAACAATTTTAGTTTATCATAAGACTCCCTGAAAGACACCAAACATAACAAAGAGAATAGATGTAATTCAAAAATCTGAACTAATTAAGACAGCAATTGCTTATTAGATCAGCATGAAATAGGCCACAACTGAACAATTAATAAATTGATTGTTTCACCACAACAGGACCAGTACTTGTTAACGAGATATCTGGATGACAGATTTTAAGGGATGAATCAGACAAAAGTACCATTAGCCAACCAGACATGTCTCTGAGTCAATTAATAAGTTCTGTATCATCCAAAATATCTCAAAACATATACTAATGCTGTGATTCAGAATTTTCAGTACAATGGAAATTATTCGAGATAATAAATATAAATACAATAATTGAGGTACCTATAAACTTTTAAGGATGCAGTACCGGGTCGGTTTTCACGTCTGTTTGCGCAGGTTTGACTTCCGGTTTGAGAAAGCTAGCTCCCAAGAACGTCTTTCTCGCATTTAGTCTTATTCAAAAATTATAGTTTATTTCGATAATGGTGTTTCCAGAAAAGAATTAAATTGCAAACATTTTATCAAGCATATTTTATCCCTTTCACTTTTATGGGAAAACTTGTTCTTGAGTCGCAATTAGTGGATACGAAAACCAGGGTTCGAAAGGTGCCAGCTCTATTGAAAACTCAAAAAAGTAAAAAGATTCATTTTGGGTGGGTAAAATAATGTTTTTATTTTGTAATTACCAGACGGTCAATCCTCTTCATATTGCACTTGGATGATGATAACATCATAGTGATACATTGTAAAAAACATGAGTAAAATCTAATGTCTGGAACTTTTTCTACGCTGACCTGGTACTGCATCCTTAAATGAAGTTTTAGAAAAAAAGCATGGTATTGAACAGCAGACTATTTTCTGAACTAAACATTTTTAAAAATGTTGCTCTCAACCGACTCTTGCTGAATACTTTATTATAAATATTTGAGAATTATGATTTTGAAACATGAAAATCATCAAACATAAAAAGAAGACACTGACATTGGCACTGGAAGAAGGCAACGGGCAATTTTCACCGATTGTTTTCACAAAATCGCCTGTTGTTTTAGGGACTTTTCAACTTTTCCATGTTAAATTTATGAGTTCCATTAATTTTGCCTGTTGTTTTCATTTATTTAGCCTATTGTGAGAAATTCTTGTGAAAATACTTCCAAACTGCCGACTTAAATGCCGGCTCGATTTCTTTTCTACATCCTGCATACTGATAATGCACTCGATTTGCGAACGACGATGAAGAAATTTACGAAAAAGCATTGGACCCATCTACCTGAAATCGCGGGTCCATTAATAACACTTTTCAATGCAAAGAAATGTAATCTAGGTACGAGGTAAGTGAAAATATTTAATTTTTCAAAACGAAATTGGAGGTGTTTCTTGCTATTTATACACGTTTTTATGCATTTTAAGGAAGGAATTTATGTACCGATACCGATATTAACCCTTTCTATCCCGTGTCCCGAACTGAAGCTTCTCTGACAAGCAATAATAATATTATACTTTGGTCTTTTGATTGCTTTTTGGGCTAATTGACGCCCCATATGAAATGGGGCCTGTATATGGGGCCTGTATATGGGGCCTGTATAGGCTACATAGGATTCCTAGGACTTGATAGTTTACCAAGTTGATATCCTATATCCTCAAAATTGATGATATTTTCATTCACTTTTCAACAATCATTCAAAAAACAGTAAACCTACCTTTACCATCTTAAAATCTGAGATGTCATTATGTTTTGTGTGGACTGAAATTCCATTTTTGTTATACTCTACTTTCCATCCATCTATCTCTTCACAAAGGTCTCTTAATTTCATAAAATCTGAGTCCATTGCAACCCTCACTTCACCAACTTCCATTTTTATATATTATTATGTACGTATCGATCCTAGTAGTGTCATAAATTGTCTAAAACGTAGGTGATTTCAAAAATATTTTTTATTTTTGCTGACGTTCTTGAGACTGCTTTACGGTTTTACGACATGTACAATGAACGAAAAGAACAAACAAAAACAGCATATTTTCCCGGGAGTCGAAGGTGTTCAATGCAGTAAGCTGAAAAACATAGATCTAAGTTATATATTCAGATATTTCACCTAAGCTGATGGTGCTGGACTTGTAAGTGTCTGTGTTGCCAACTCAACCTTTATGTATGAATCAGTATTGTTTAACTTGAACACTTGAGGCTTTCTCTTCTATCAAAGCACACTTGAAGTTCTACGATAATTTTACTCTTCAGTCTAAGAAATTACTTTTGTGACCTCTTGACCTTCTATCAAAGGTATACAGCATGGACTTTCCCTAAAAGCCCATGGTCATAGCGCACTATAGCTAACTTTTCTTGTCTGCATTTCCATCCAGAATCCACATGCTTGGATTGAAATTGAAATTTCCAGGGATGTTTTTGGCAATGAGGCACTGAGCAATATTTGTTTTTTCAAAAACGATACTATATATAGTATTATTCCTTGAATCCTATTGGCATATACACAAGTTAGAACTGGTTTTGATCATAGTTACTTCCAATTTGTTGTTTCATTTTCCATTTGGTATTCTTCTATGCAAGCCATACAGTTGTATATTTTAGGCCATGGATTGTTTTAGAGGCTATCTGTCTAAATCCTACAAGGCATATTTATTAAAGGATGTATATAGCTATAGACTAATTAAAGATGATCATCAATTTGATTCCTTTTCATGTCTAAACGCGAAAGTGAAAGTGTTTGGCCATTGTCAGGAATCCCCCAAAACAAATGTCACAATGAAAGTCTCCATATCATCCAACGTATATTGATGATGTAAGACTTAAAGCCTCTTGCAGTCTTGTGAAAATCAAATGTAATATCATTTCTGTAACAACAATATATTTGGAGAAACCTCTCAATGTTCTATCATATTAATATTAATATATGCATTATGCTTTCAAGTAATAAGTCCAAAAACGGCAACATTATTATATTTGATTTAAAGTGGGCCCCTCATTAAATACACTCGACGAAACGTTCTGAAAATTGCTAAAAGAAGGGATCATTGTAACAGCTCCCACTCTGTCAATATTTTATTTTACATTTTCTTCACATGGAATGAAAGATGAATATCCACTCTAAATGTATAAGTAAAGAAAAGTATTATACATACACGGCAACATGCTTTGAAAGGGTGTCAAAACACTTTGATAGTTATATAAAACCTTTCATCTGTGTTGTTTATTAATCTGAGCTGTCTGTGTCTGTGTTCAAGGGTATAATTTTGGTGAGAAAAGTGACGATATATCTGTCACTCTGGGCATTCAAGGGGTTAATTTAAGCTACCTTTAATGTAAAAATACAAAACTGTCAGCACTAAATGACTGAAATAAATGAAGACAAATTGGTTATACTGAACAATAAACTGTTATATTTCACTTACTCCATATAATATTATTACAATAACCATTGTGATTTTGTACAACATAATGTTAACAGTCTGTGACTAAAAATGTGCTCTTAAAATATGCACTGTCCAGAATATATCATATTCCCAACTGTCAACAGTGAGTCAGATACTTATGTTAAGAGCCTCTACATGGGTAGGATCTGGCAGATTAAAGTCCCAATATATACTGTGTGCTCCTTTAAAGGCCCCATATATACTGCGTGCTCCTTTAAAGGCCCCATATATATGTGTGCTACTTTAAAGGCCCTCTATATACTCTGTGCTCCCATATAGGTGTGTTCCTTTAAAGGGCCTGTATATACTGCATGCTCCTTTAAAGGCCCCATATATATGTGTGCTACTTTAAAGGCCCTCTATATACTCTGTGCTCCCATATAGGTGTTTTCCTTTAAAGGGCCTGTATATACTGTGTGCTCCTTCAGAGACCCAATATATACTGTGTGCTCCTTTATAGGCCTCATTTATACTGAATGCTCCTTTGAAAGCAACATATATACTGTTTGTTCCTTTAGCTTTAAAGGCCCTATATATACTATGTGCTCCTTTTTTATTTCTATTGTTAAAAGCAACTCTTTGATTTTAAGGTCAACAGTGGCAAGTTTCACCATGAAGAAAAATCTGCTTGCTGTTTTTCACAAATACACTTATTTTTGTAGGTTCACTGTAAATTACATCTTTTCTGTGTACCATCTCAGGAATCTCCCACCCGTGTCTAACCCCAGTTAGAAGACTAATAGGAATCATAGTAGTTTCACACAGTATTATGGATACTATAAATCCCATGTCCTACCCATGTTATCAGGTAATGTATGGAACCTTTATTCTATTCATTTTATTGAATCAAAATTTTGTGAGTTACAGGGTGTCCAATAGTTATTGATTTACAAATACAGCACCAGTTTTTTTTATTATAGATCACACTGTCTATGGGATGAATATTCTTAAGCATATTAATCTCACCCTGTACAAACTTGTAGTTTTACATTATATGTAGTTTACATCACAAATTTTACTATAAATTCCAAATCTGTTCACCACATACAGCACATAACCTTCATTCACCCCAACCCAAAAATATTTCAACACTTTTATCTATGCATTTGAAATATACATCCTATAAAAATTTTCAAAGAAGCATTGAGTCCACATTTTAAAAATCATAATATTATTCAAATATTTTCTTCTTCGGTAAACCAACTGCTTTATAGCGCAGTCTCGATAAAAAGGAGGAACGACCCAAAATTCAAATGAACCATCTTCATGTGAAGAACATCTAAATATAGGTTCCGTTTTTGAATTTTGGGTTATTTCCTCTTGTATTGATATGTTGTATTTCTTTCAAAACATCAAAATAATTATTTACATTAAATAAATTATAGTAGATCTTATCTATAGTCTAACGTTTTACATTTTGTGCAATTACATTAAAGCTTTTAACCACATTTTTCAGCATATCCCTTATCACACGTATGACAATAGTATTTCTCAAATATTTTTGAGTACACAGTACAGAAAAATGACTCTTTAGCACTCTGTTTAAGGTCATCTGCGAATCACAAAGGCCAAAATGTCATAATTTTTTTCAGGAAATGATTAAAGATTAGCTTGATGTAAACTTGTCATTGTCTATAATATGTTGCTGTTTCTGGTAACATGGTTTTCAGTGATACATAACACAGTTAATTATAATATTAGTTATAATTGCAATTGAACGAAATCAAACTTTGTTAAATTACATCCCACATTTATTTTGAAAATGTTTCTTGGGTGAAACTTTGAACATAAAATTAAAGGTAAATATAGTACTTAAATAAGTGAAATACAGTAATTATTTTACTAATACTGGATGTGAAAATACTTTTGGATGATGGTGTCCAAATGTCAATAGTTACAGAAGGATAGTTAACTTGAAGATATTGTCAATGAAAAAAAGTTTTTTGAAGAGAGTGCAAATCACCATTTTCAATGTTATTATCTGGGAAGGTTGGAGGGTTAAACCATAACACAACTAATTCCAATTTGAACACCATCCCTATGAGTATATAAAACCCATACTGCGTTTAAAATAAAATTTAGTTATTCCTAACCTTAGATGAGAATATCAATGAGACTCCTTAAGGATGTCAAAGTATCCCTTCTAACCATCTCAACACCAAACTCCCTAAATACTCATACATGATTCTTCCCACAAACAAAATAATATCAGTGATCTCCCCAGCACTTAGAGCAATCAGGTACTGTCACCCGTTTAAAATCTGAAAATTACACACCACTATTTCAAAATCTTCTTTCACCTTGCCATGATGAAACATTAGTAAAATGAAGATTTAGCACCTCCTTAGAAAAAAAACCTTGAAAGATCACGAAAAATAATCACATACATAGACCTACATATCTAACAAAAATATATATTTGATACTGAACACTAAATAATAGCACAGGCAGATCTGCTTGTTATTCATAGACTTGAAAGTAAAATACATAATATAATATACTAGTCAACACTTTAACATGGAACTCAAATGACTAACAGTATACTAGTTAACACTTTAACATGGAAGTTATGTATGTAAATGAACCTTAGTTTAACATGGAACTCAATGGAGTTTAACATGGAAGTAAATGTAAATGTACTGACTAGTTTCAGCAAAGGAAGATCTCGACTTAAAAACAATTTAACAATAAAACCTTCATAAAATACTATATTTCTCTCATATGAAAGGCTGAGAGTAATTTTCTGAAATGTTTTAAGTAGTGTTAACCGCCTATTGTAGAGTTCAGATTACCTACATAGCATAAATTATGAGATATGTTATGATTGCAACCAATAGCACCAGGATTGAAAGTCCAACTTTCCAGAATCTTTGAATAAAGGAAGGTTCCTCCTCAACTACACGCTGTTTACGAGGTTTTCTTTTTGGCTTCTTTAATTTCCTTTCAAATTCCTCCAGCTCTTCCTGTTGACGTTTTAGATCTTCTTCCTGTTTCTGTTTGTCCTTGTCATCCTTGGACTGAAATATGGAATGTTAAAAGCGTAAATACAATGATGCATTAATATTTAATAACACATGGGTGCAATCACAAAAGTGTAACAATTGTTACAGATCATGTTCACAAAAAAGCAGTGACTTTAACAATGTGTCCTCAAATCTTAATGACACATGTTCAACCTATTGCAGATTAATAAAGGGGCCGGGGGATAATTATTTTGTTTCAATGTATTCTATATATTCATATTCAGATATGGGGAAGTTATGATAGATAATTACTGAGAATCAATATATGTTCACAAAGAAAATATGGAAAAATACAACTGGGCGATAAATGAGAGTAATTTTCAGAACAAAATTTTCAGAATCTAAACAGTGTGTAATAAATGTTTCCTTATGATCTTCAGTAAAACATGCCTGGGGCAACCTATACTTTTTCAAGTGTTTCCACAGAGCTTTGTTAATTTGCAAGAGGTGTTCCTCATAAAGGTTTTATAATTGTAATTATATCACCAGCATCACATTACATTTTCTACTTCAAAAGTATTTCCTCGATTAGTTTTACAAACCTGACGCTGTTTTTCTCTTGTCATCTTACAAACTTCATCACACTGTAGCACTATCTTCTTCTTGATGACCTCATGACATGGGAACTCTTTCTTGATGAATTTACAAGGACATTTCACTGTCATCTTTTTAGTGCAAGTCTCTGCCCCTGGGCAACTCCCAGGATGACAAATGGCTGTGCATTGATGGCCACACTTCAGCTGCAATTGAACACAAACTTATTAACAGTGTCAGGACAAATGGCTGTGCACTGATGGCCACACCTCAGCTGCAATTGAACACAAACTCATTAACAGTATCAGGACAAATGGCTGTGCACTGATGGCCACACCTCAGCTGCAAATGAACAAACTATTCATAGTAATGGGATATACAGAGGACATCCTACAATCCAAGTGAGGATTTCTACATGAATGAGCATTATACAAATATAAAAACAAGGCATTAACATGCAAAATGTTTCCACCTGCCATTTGTTACATAATGCAAACTGAATGCAAACTGCTGAAAACTGACCAGCATCCAGAAAAAAGTTGGAGACTATAACAGTATGTCATCACTTTAAATTATATCACTCAATCAGTCAATCATAAAATATCTTACAGGAAGGAGCTTGTCAGTTAACCAATGAAAAATGTTCGATGCGAACAGGTGAAGGATACAAACTGTGCATCAGGTGGATTTAATATCCATTGGCTTAATAAAAGCTTTAAAATGTTCCTCTATCATGTTCTCATAATTCCATATTCCAATATACTACATGATGTCACACCTATTTTAATCTGTCCATTGATTTTGGTCTTAACAATGACCAGAACAAATTGTGTTTCACATATCATATGATTTTTATTCCTTTACAAATCAAGTTGAAACCTTACCATCTTTGGACATTGACTAGGACAAGCCTTCAAGTGATCTTTCTCTCTCTGCCCTGCCCTGGTCCATTTATAACACTCCACATACTGGACAACTAGCTGGCAGTGACATCGCATTCGGATCATCTGTTTGCCTGAAATGAGAATTAAACCAACATGTTTAATGTAGATACATTAGTACATTTTACTATCCTAAATGTATGCTTTTATGGCTATGTGGCAAAACCAATATAAACGCATTTGGAATAATAGAGGTTCTTATTATAAGCCATATACTCTTGTAGAATATTGTCAAAATTTGCTCAAAGCAAAGTGTAATATATAAATCAGCAATCAGAATCCGAGATACTAGCCATTTTAAACTTTACTATCTCAACTTGAACAGCAGTACAAGATAAAGATACTTACAGGAAGGACATTCATCTGGATGACAAGCCAGAACACATGGATGGGAGCATCCTTTTGCCCTCGCTTTCTCACATGGCTCCTCACACTGGGAACAGTTTGTGCCAGCCTGAAAAATCCATCACAGATTATAAGTTTGGAAGAGAACACTTGTTACTTTTTTGACTCATCTTAATGTTTTGTGTGTTTTATTTCGTTTTCCACAAGTGTCACCAATAATCAACTAGGAAGGGTATCAAAGAACTTAATTCATTTTTCAGATGTTACTTTTTAAACTTAGGTTTTCTATCCATATTCATGTATACCAAGCTGGTACACATATTCTTAGGGATGAAGACTGAAATTCAAAGATAAGGTGCAACAAATGACTAGACATATAATCCTAGTTTATTCTAATTGTTCTTAGGAGACAACTAACCTGATCAGAGGATATAGCCTGTGTAACCTTATGACATTCTAAGCTGCACGTATGGTTCCCACATGGTAGTAACCTTTTACACTCTCTACCACATGACTGTACCCTAGCAGTCCAACATGGAATGTTTACTGTCTGAAATATACAGAAATACATGAATAAATGTTTTGTATGGTTCCCACGTGGTAGTAACCTTTTACACTCTCTACCACATGACTGTACCCTAGCAGTCCAACATGGAATGTTTACTGTCTGAAATATACAGAAATACATGAATAAATGTTTTGTATGGTTCCCACATGGTAGTAACCTTTTACACTCTCTACCACATGACTGTACCCTAGCAGTCCAACATGGAATGTTTACTGTCTGAAATATACAGAAATACATGTATAATTGTTTTGTATGGTTCCCACATCGTAGTAACCTTTTACACTCTCTACCACATGACTGTACCCTAGCAGTCCAACATGGAATGTTTACTGTCTGAAATATACAGAAATACATGTATAATTGTTTTGTATGGTTCCCACATGGTAGTAATCTTTTACACTCTCTGCCACATGACTGTTCCCTAGCAGTCCAACTTCCCGGATCCAACATGGAATGTTTACTGTCTGGAATATATAAATATACAAAAACACCTGAGTCTCGAATCTGCATTCAAATCATCAATGTGAAATTCTTGCAACATATTATCTTCATTAGCATTAACCTATAGGCACTAATTCTTTACAAAATGAGCAGTCTTGGCTAATTCTGCAGGGAGTTTTTCTGTACAAAATGAGCTGTCTTAGCTAATTCTGCAGGCAGGGAGTTATTTTGCCTGTGTCAGCTATTCTTAGGATATTCCATATTACATATGTTGGACTACTTTATGTGCTGATATACAAAATACATATAAAGATCCCAAATTGTCCCAAAGAACCTAAGATTGGCAGTCATAAAGTGAGCTCTCATTTACCATTTCCATTCTTACATGGAATAGCAATGAAATAATAATTGGCCACACGGAATCATAATGACAAAATGATACTCACCTCATGTTCACCCAAGCATGTCACTGGTACAGGAACCAGACACGGAGGGCACTCAAAGTTCTTTTGTTCAAGTTTGACCTCAGGCCGAGCCTCCCAAGGAAACTTTGTCTAAAATTATTTGTAGAAATGCTTGTAAGAGGACATATTGTTTTACAATCACGATGAATATAAGTCTAAGAGCCATAGAAAATCAATGTTAAAACAATAATTACAATGCAAATACTACTATAGGATTAATTGTTCATACTTCCTCCAAGTTTTGGGTCATATATCTCATAATAACTAAACTGTCAAGAAATATTGTAATATTTTATTGTTGGATGTACGTTTAGCCTTTATAGGGCATCACTGCATCGGTACAAATAAATCCTATAAAATAATTTTAAAAAATTATAATTTATGTTTATTTTCTTTCTGTCTATCAATGTCTATTTTCTCCATGTAAATTCATGATTTATCATACCTTTCCTTGTTGGACCTTAGTAAGCACAGCACTATGGCATATGGCAGGGCAAGTATGGGAACATTTTTCATGATTTTTCCCGCAAACCTGGCGGCATGGTGGGCACCTATTGAAGTGACATCTATGTTCAATTCTGGTGGGATGATGGCAATCAGGTGGAATTCTGGAATATACAATTTCAAATATTACATTATGAAATAAGTTCATAGTCTGGTAATTTTAATTCCGTTCATTAGTATTCCTTGTCACAGATTATATTTATTTTTGATGTTTTCTGAAATAAAAAGAAATACAATCTGTGGCAATTAATACTAATAAACAGAATTTCAAGTATTTTTTTTTCACAAGCTGTAAAACATGAAATCTGTTTATCCAAACACCAGTCATTAATCATATCATCTCTTAATGCAAATGCTTTTTTCCAATCCTATCTTTATGAAATCTGAATTCACATAAATTCCATGTTAAAAAAAGTAAAATGTGAACACCGGCCAAGCCAGTATCAGTGACATAAAGGATTTAAGACAGGTTGTAACAGATGTGCATTCATAATTGTAAAGAGCATGATATATTATAATTCAACACATTTTGCTTCAACGCAAAAAATGCAGATGTCTTTACACAACCTCTTTTATAAGCAAACTATTCAGATTGTAGCTAAATTAAAGTTTATAAATGGATGTAACACAATAATAAAATAAAAACAAACGTATTTATAAAAATCATTGTTTAACACACCAAGGATAGATAGAGATATACTTACTTGCATGGCAGTTTACATCTGGGTGGGCGTGTAACTTTGTCACGGCCACATGGCACAATGACTTTAGTCGCCCCACAGTTACAAGTGACAGGGACTGTTAGAGGACAGGGATAACAAGGCCCCGTGTGACAGCGACTAGAACATTTGTGGTTGCGACAACCCAGAGTTTTCCCGCACTCTTGCTCACACGATGGACAATTCTTATCGCAACACTGGAATTAGTGGCATCAAAAAATATTTTGACAATCGGATTTGTAGCCAGGATCAAAAAACTAGGAGCTAGGCGACTATAATTAGCGAGGTAAAGATGTAGCCCAAATAGTTAGTATACTTCCATAGAACATAATTTTCTATAAATTTCAAAAGGTCAACCTACATCATGCATAGAATCATAAAATGTTATTCCTCTCCAGTATCAAAACAATTTTCAGACTTTTTACAGAATTCTAGTGCAATTACATGTTAACATCCCACAATTCTTTGAAAAATGGGCTTCTGGGTATTCTCATACCTTGCGTCTACACTGATGTTTGCCGCAATCCTTCATTCGTGTACACTTTGTCTCGCAGAGGTACTCTTTGTAGCATGGGATCTCCTTGGAACGTTGTCCACAGCGACATTTCTTCATGCAAAGTTGACGACACTGACCACATGGTCCTGTGTGACATCTGAAATTGTAGAATATGTAACCATATGTTCCAAGTAATAATTCTATGTACTACTATTTTGTACAGTGTAAATCTTCTATGTGTTGCCAATAGAGGGTGCCAATAATCAGCGGAATATTTGTCATCAAATATGAAACCCTTGTTAAATATTTTGTGAATATAATCTTGAATATACATATACACAGATTCTTGTAACATCATACACAACAGAAATGCCAATCAGACAAAACCGTCAAATCTACTAATAAAGCATTGTCACGCATTGGATCAACCTTAAAAACAAATGACCAGTGATCTCCCCAGCATTAAAGCAAGTGGGCGCAGCACCCACCTGAGATTTTAAAAACAGGCTTGCTGTTGCACCCATCTGAAAATCCATTTGCACCCACTTGAAAATGAGAAAACCATGAAAAATAGGCAAATTTTGACTAATTTTGGACCAATTTAGTGACAATGAAAATTTTTAGACCAAATAGTGATAATGAGAATTTTGCACCCACTTGAGAAAAAGTTCTGTGGAGAACACCGTGATTCACTTCTTTTGAGATATGAAATTAATGACAGGAAAAATGTATTCATTATTCCAAATGAGATTTTATATAACAACTCATGAAATAAATAATATGTATAATTGTTGTTATCATCAATTTTATGCAATTTTTCTATAGTATAAAATAAATAAATGAAAGGAAACAGATCTCATATCTTCTTGATGAACATACATGTAATACGTATTGCTTGTCGTATTTTGATTTGAAATGATGTGACTTTACCTCTGAGCCTGAACTCTGATAAAAAGGGCAACATCTCTATCAATTTTTTTCAGTTTTGATGTTTTCTAAAGAAAGCCAAATAGTCAAATTGCGAACAAAATCGAAATTGAGATTTTTTTCTGATGACATTTTGTGATTCATCATTTTGGCTAGTTAACTCTAGACACTTATGATTCTCCCGATCCCTCTTTCATAATTAATCAAAATTCTCACTTTTTAATAACCCTCATTAATAATTAGCCAATGGTCTCATTTTTTTAAATCCCTCTCATTCATAATTAGGCAATAGTTTCAGTTTTTAATCCCCCTCATTCATAATTTGGCAATAGTTTCAGTTTTTAATCCCCCTCATTCATAATTAGCCAATGGTCTCATTTTTAGCTCATGATTCCATTGTATCATTCTTTACCTTTCTGAACACATATGTATTTTGCACTCTAATTCTTTCTCACATGTGTCCCCACATGTTGGAATGTCTTCAGTACAGGGCAGATTTGCCTCTGAAATAAAAGAAAATCTGTAAAGTCATTTTATTAATTTTGGGATTTCACATTTCCACATTAAAGGCCATTCAAATTCTAATATATGTTAAACATCCCCCCTTCAAAGAATGAGATAAATCTTTTAATGCAGCACCTCCAAATTACAAAAATAAGTTTAAAAAATAGAACCCGCGAGTTCCTTAATTGAAAACCACATTCAATGTTGTATTCTGAAAGTTTATTAATACTTCTTTAACTATAAAAGCTACATAGAGGTCATTCAATAATTGAAAGCTAATTTTATTTTGCAAACTTCATACCAATGTAGAATACAATTATCAAAAGTTTTTTCATGTTTCTTTCCAACTATAAAAATGGAACAAATTTTGTGTTGGGGCAGGAAGTAATAAAGGTGTGACATAAAGAAAATTTCACTTTTCCATCATCCCTTTCAGTTATTTTCATTTCATAAAATTGATGTATATATGCCATGAGTTAAGCTACAACAAAATTCTTACTTGCTTTTCCACAGGGGCAAGTTCGTTCACCGGATCGTGGGCATGGCCCACATTTGCCACTGTGACATATTTCTTCGCATGTATGGCTGGCACACTGTAGAACAGTTCCACAGACCTGTAGCAGATAAAAGAAATATATTGTACTCTCTCCTTGGATTGAGACTTTGCTATAAAGCTTCGAAATATTGTTGAAGTTTTAACGAGATCTTATGAGATTTTCAGAGGGACGAAATTTTGTTCTTTTTGATGACATATTAGAATTTTGAGTACAAATTGGTGATTTATCCACATGATATTTCGAAATCAGACTTTAACCCATTCATAAACGAGAATAATTAAACAATTTGGCACACTTTTGTCAGAATTGTGAAAATGAGAATTTTGCACCATCTTGTGGAAAAAACTACTGTATAATATAGTGGAGGACAATTACAAAACAAATATTCATGTTAAGGAGGGATTTCAATGTGCCACTCATAAAAAATAATTAAGGACTTTCAATGCTCTCAATACATGAACTTTCCATTTAAAGTTCACGATAAAAAAGAAATCATTAAAAAATTG